GGGAAAACTCTAATCCCATCATTATGATCTTAACCCCTACCCAGCCCTAGCCTTAACCATAAGTAACCAAACTAAATACAAGACTTTTGGCATTTTTACTTTGATTGCATTCACAGATCTTTGTGGGGACCTTAAAAATGGTCCCCCCCCAATGTCAAAACAACATGTTTTTACTAAATTGTGGGGGTATTTGGTCCCCACAAAATAGTATAAACCTAATCCACACACACACTCACATGTTTGTAATTCTATCTTTATGGGGACTCTCCATTCATTTCTATAGGGAGAATCCCTAATCCTAACAATGACAAGTTTAACCCATTCCCAGCCCTAACCTTAACCATTAGTAACAAATCAAAATACAAGACTTTTGGCATTTTTAGCTTTTTGAGGGCAGTCAGATTTTTATGAAATTGAGTTTCCCCTTGCTGGACCAAAAAATGGTCCTACAATGGTTGCCACAATGTAATATACACATGCTTCCCAGGAACGATGGCGGCGCCCGGATACGAGCAGGCGACAGCAGCACTGCATTTCATTTTGACCCTGGATACCATAGCGGGGAGTGGGGATCTATTTTTAAAGCTGCACAAACTGCAGCTCCCCTAGAAGACGTCGGGGAGATATGTACATTTTTCCGTGAAGCCTGGCGACAGCACTCACTTCCCAACACAGGGAAATCGACATGGCGGACAGTGTGTGCTGGAATGATGGAGGGAGAGAGGGAGAGAGAGAGAGAGACAGACCAGACGTCCATTACAGATGCTTATAAGAGGGGAAAAAAAAAATCAGAAAAATAACATGATTGGCTTTCACACAAATAAGAGGCACGAAAAGGGAAAAAACGGACAGGGTGTGTATTTGTGTGGGGTGGGGAGGAAAAATATTTAATAAAGAATAAGGTTTTTGAAGCTGAAGAATGAGCAAAACCCAAGAGGTCTGCTGGCCAGGTGAAATGGGAGAGCATGGCGGGGGTGACCAGAGGAGACAGACGCTGCTTCAGCGGCCTCGAATTCGCCTTCAGGCCCGTGTTTGGTGAAAAGATTTAACACTGGTGGGGGGGGGGGGGGGGGGGGGGGATAACCAATTGCTATTTGTCAGTTTCTCGACTTTTAGTTCTCCTCCGAATCTGTGAGAGACCGGTTCTCCCAGCAGAAAAGGGCCATAATTAAACACACCAGGTCCAGAGATCATCGGGAAGACGGCCAGGGAGCGGCAGTGCAGAGCACAGAGGGGACATCGGCCCGGCCCCCTCCCACCCTGCCCCACCCCAACCCGCCAGCCCCCACCAAGGTCGCACTGTCGCACTGGAGGAGGCCCGATCCGAGGGAGTCCGCCATGTGATAATTAAACGGCGACTCGGGCCGAAGCCGAAAATGCTGAGGTGGCGCATTTTCTGGGCACGGGGAGGATCGTTTCCTGGCACCCGCTGGCCCTCAGCCTATGGTGGCCCAAGTTGGACAAAACGCAAAAGAAAAACAAAAGCCAGAAGACAATGCTCTTAAGTACATGGTGTGTGGAGGCCGGGGTCCTACAGATTAAGGGATACATTTTCATCACTGCCTGTCTGACACACCCTATGGCTGGGCTCTCACAGCAGGACACAAATACCTGGGGGGGGCATCGTCAAGGTGATTATTAACCGGTCCTTACAGGAGGGGTCTGTGTCTGGATGTGTGTGTGTGTGTGTGTGTATGTGTGCGGGTTTACCTATCCTTATGGGGACACAATGTCCCCATAACGTGATAAATATCCATTTTTTTTCCCTTATGGGGCCCAGTTTCCTGGTCCCCATAAGGGAAAACTCTATTTTATAAAAATCGGTGACTCTTGTATTTTGTTAGGTTAATAGTTATAGTTGTCATAGTTAGCGTTAGCATTTTTCCCATTGAAATGAATGAGCAGTCCCCATAAGGATATGTATACCCTACATGTGCGTGTGGGCATGTGTGTGTGGG